GCGATCCCTTTGTGCAGGGTCCCAGCACGGCCATGCCTGATGCTGGCGACGCGCGCTGTCAGGTGGCGGCCAAGCTGGTCACGGTCAACCCTGGCTCTCACGGGCAACTGTTTAATTTCCTGGCGCACTTCCTCGGCGAGGTGGTAATGGTCCAGGAGACGCGGGTGGTCGACCAGCGGCTTGGGGCCGATCAATCTGTTGTGCGCGATGCAGGTTGGCACGGCCTCTGGGCCCCTGCCGAGGAGACGGGGGGGGCGTCCGCGGCGTCGTGCTCCAGTGGAGTCTGCGTGCTCGCGCCTACCAACGCGATGGTCACGATGCCCCCCGATGGGGGCCATGTCGTCTTTTCACATCATGCTGTGGCAGCTCATGTTCACTGGGGTGTCCCTGGTGGTCTGATTGTCGCCGGCGTGCGCGTGGTTCAGGGCGTCGGCGTCGCCGGGGCCAACCTCTCGATCCTATGGGCGCTTGCGAAGCGCGTGGCGGCGTGGAACGCACGCGGCCTCGACTGGATCATCGGGGGTGACTGGAACGCCAACGGCCAGAGCATCAACATTGGCGACTGGGTTGGGTCCTTGGCAGGCACTCTCCTCCAGCCGTCGGCCTCTACGTGCGTCGTCTCCAACGGAGCGTCCACCATCGACTACTTCTTGGTGGTCAGCGACCTCGCGTCCCGTGTCTCTCGCCAGCCCGCGGTGATACATGGATGTGGGAGCATTCCCAAACCCCACTACCCTGTGGCTCTGGAGCTGCATGGGAAGGACACGCCGACGCGGTGCCGCGCCCCCGATGAGCTTCGACCGCTGCCTGCTGTACCCCCTGTTGGCTGTGCTCGCATCCTTTTTCCATGGCACATTTTGGATCGCCTATTTGCGCGAGCAGCCGCCGCGCCGCACAGGGTTGCTGGCACGGACCATGTCCTTCGATCACTTTGGTTCATTCGACAAACCTGAGTGCGATCGATCGGGGCGCGCGGGCCAACGTCACCGCCGTCGGACCTGGGCCCATGGACAGGCCGTCGGCGAGGGGAGCACACCTGATGATGTCTTGCAGCAGCTCTGGGACTCCGCTCTGCAGGGCATTGACTACGAGATCGCAGGCAGGCACGGCAAAGTTGGCCCTGGAGCCAACAGCTTCGGCGGGCACCAACGGCCCCCCCAAGGCGAAGTGGCGGCAGCTGCGGTGGGGTGGGGGCCGCCTCGCAAGCGGCTGTGCCACGACACCGCAGTCTGTGCTTGGGCTACTGCGGCACGCTGGGCTACTCACCTTCGCTCTGAGCGCGATCGGGTCCAGCGTTTCTGTCGCCGGTTGAATGCGGCGGCGGCGCGTGCGTCTCCAGCCCCCGGGCAGCTGCAGAAGACCGCCAGTGTTTTCTACGACATCCTCTGCTTCCTGAGCTCCATTGTCTGGCAGGATAAGGTCCCGACCAACATCGACCCCTGCTACCGCCAGTTCTTCCTGCGCGGGCTGGGCGGGCTGATTTCGGAGGACTTTGATGACATGGTAGATGCCCTCGTGGGCCGCGCGGAGGACCTCACCGCCGCGGCTCGCGGCGCGTCGGAAAGAGCCTGGCGCAGCTGGGCTCAGGCGGCCTTCAATGGGGGAGCGAAGGCTGCCCGTGCTGCATCCAAGGTCAGGGCGCAGCAGGAACTCGCTGCCCCTGAGGCCGACGCCCAGCCGTGCATCCTCGCGGACCGCACCATGGACGAGTGGAAGCGGATATGGGCGACCCATGGGCTGGAAGAGCTGCCTCTACCCACGGATGCACGTGCGTGGGAATAGCTGCCTCGCCTGACGGTCCATGACCTACGGCAGGCCATCCGATCTTTTTCTTTCTCGTCACCGCCTCGGGGCCCACCCGCATTCCACCCAGGGCGCTCGAGCACTTATCGGATGAGGCTCTCAGTAGGTTGGCCCAGATGTTCCAGGTATTCCAGCTGCACTTACTGTTTCCCTCAGACCGCCTGTATAGCGAGATGGTCCGTCTCCCTAAGCCAGATGCTGGCCACAGGCTGATTGTGCAGAGTCATACTCTCATACGGGTTCGGGCGAAAGCACGCCGGTGGCTGTCGGTAGAGTGGCAACGACAGCATAATTGCGACGAGATGTGGGGTACTCGGGGCAGCCACACATCCACGGCCTCGGCTGCTCACAATGTCGAGCAAGAGGTGGGAGGCCTCATCGGCGACCACACTTGTACCATCCTCCTTGACATGGTGCAATGCTTTGACATGATGAGCCACCATGCGCTCATGCGGGAGGCAAGGGAGATGGGTTACCCGATACGCATGCTCTGGATGTTGCTGCAGCCCTGTCAGCAGCCACGGCGCATCAAGGCGTACGGCAGCCTCTCGTGTTCCTTCGTCGCCTTTTCAGGGGGTGCTGGCAGGGTGCACATGTGCCACCTACCTCATCCACCTGCTGACGTACTGCGTCCTCCAGCGGGCCAGCAGGGTTGCGCCGACAATCAAGCCGCGTTCGCTGGCGGACGACATCGGCCTGCATATGGTCTCACCTGACATCGGTGATGTCAAGCTGCTGCTGCGCGCTGCCATGGTGCTCACTGCAGAGGTCAGGGACCTCGGACTTATTCTCAAACCTGCTCAGGCCGCGGTAGTGGCTGGATCAGCGCAGGCCCGCCTTGCGGTGCACAGGGCCCAGCGGCGGCTGCCTCGGGCGATGCCCCAAGCCCGACACATGCGCAACCTTGGCCACGAGTTCCATGGCCCTCGAGTACTGAGAAAGGTTGAGAAGAAGCGCATGAAGGCCGTGCGGGAGCGCAAGCACCGCCTCCTCATGCTGTGTCGCGCGGCAGGGCGCAAGGCCTCCACCCTGTGGCGGACTGGGCTCATGCCGTCCGCAGGGCACGGTGCTGCAGTGTCGGGGTTGGCGGACGCGCCCCGTACGTGAGATGCGCAACATGGCCGCGGTGCTAAACGGACGCAGTGACAAACACCATGTGGGCGTCACGGCATACCTCCTTGCTCACCCTTCGGAGGGGTACGACCCCATCTATCATGCCACGCTAGACCTGGTCTTGAATTACGCCGCTTGGATTTGGGACGGGCGCGCGTCACCTTGCCGCCTTCAAAGGGCATGGGCAGCGCTCCGTGAGCGGCTTGTCCCTGTCAGTTGGGCCAGTGCCAAAGGTCCTCTGGCCGCGACGCGTCTGACGCTCAGGCGGCGAGCCTGGGACCTGAAAGCGCCGCGCGCCTTGCAGGCAGGACGACCTGGGCAACCAGTATGACCTGTACCGTGTGTGCCCTGCTGACGTACGTCCGTTTTTGGTGCGAGGCGTGCAGCGCTGGCAGCACGACCGCCTCACCAGCTACGTGCACTCCCGCGCTGGTGCTCCCATCTGGCACCGTGGGCTCAGGCATGCGATCAAGGGTGTCCGCGCCGCAAGGCAGCTGGGAGCGTTACAGGCGCTATGGTCTGACAACATGCCCATGCCGATCCGCAGGGACATGAAGCTCGGCATGCCCACGCCCCCTTGTCAGGCTTGCGGGAAAGCCTTTGCGCCCGATGAGTGCCGGGGCCATGTCGTCTTGGAATGCCCCGCGCTGCTGACCCACCGCCCAGCAGGGGAGCTGCGACCCATGGAGCAGGGGCCGACGGACCATGCCCAAGGCCTGCGACAAGCGCAGAACCCTGAAATACAGCAGGGCTTCGGCGACCTGCGCCAGCAAGCTCGCGACAACCTTTGGAGTCGGGCCGACCCGACCCTGCCGACCCTGCCGACCCGACCCAGCACCATGGAGGCCGAGGACGACTTCTTCCCAGGCATCGGGCAAGGGGGTGATGAAGAGGTCGACTTTGTGCCACCCGATGGGCACGACGGCCGTCAGGAGGAGACGCGGCTGGGCGCGCAGAGTGTCCGCTGTGCGCCACCGGTTGCTCCGGAACAGAGTGGCCCGTTGCCCCCTGCGGCGGCGGTTCCGGCCTCGGCGCCCGATGCACCGCGCGGGCGGGGCGGGCCCGAGACAGCGACGCCAACGCTGAATGGCCGCGGTATTTTCCGCCTCCCCCAAGTGCTGGCTGAGGGTCGCGACCAACTTATCCAAGCGGGTCCTGGGTCAGGCACGCCGAACTTCGAGCAATCCTAGTTCGTTTTTGGCATACCCGAGCCTCTCGCTGATCTGCGACGCGCAGATACGCGGAGGCATGATGTCTGCCTCTGCGGCGACGCCCATGGCGTTTGGGGCCCCGTTTCTTTCACCGACGGGTCTGGTTGCGACTCAGGTGTCCCCGAGGTGCGGAGATGTGGACAAGCTGTTGTGCAGCTTGATCCTTTCTCTTGGCTCCCAGTTAGGGCGCGGTTCGGGCCCCTTCCGTACTTGGCGCAGACTGTCGGCCGTGCTGAGAGGCACGCGATCAGGGAGGGGCTCGACGCTTTCCCTGACCACCAGTGCTTCGTCACTGACCTGCTGGCGCTCGCCCGGGAAGGGGAGCGTTGGTGTCCCGAGCTCGAGCAGGGTCGCGCCAAGCATGCCCGAGCGTGGCGGGGCATCTTCGTGGCCAGCCGCAGGCGCGCTCTGCGGGCCCCTCCCCCAAGTTCCGATGAACGCCAGCGCGCAGGTCCTTGGGGGGGCTCATGGGCACAGAGCCGCAGGAGCGGCGTGACTGGCTAGGCAACGGCTGGGCAGTCTACTTCGCGCGCTGCGGTGCGGCCTCTCACGCGCTGGCTGGGTCGGTAGCTGAGGCGGCAACAGCTGCGCTGAAACAGCACCGCAAGGTCCTGCAGTTCATTTCGCGGGCGGCACTGCAGGCGGTGGCTCACAAAAACTGGGAATGCACGTGGAGGTCCCCAGGCCACCTTGCGAGCAGGCCAGGCCCATTGTGGTGGCACGCAGCACGGAGCATGTCCTTGCTTACTGCGCCAGCCTCGGGCGGCACCCACCGATGCACCCAATGCGGGGTCACGGCCGCAGCGGGCTCATCCCTCGAGTCGCTGCAAACTGGCTCTCATCGCGTATGTCGCCCTTCGCGTGTTGCCAGAGCTCTCAGCGCCGAGTACTTCCGCGCCTTCGGCGAGGGCTGGGTTCTCTGCAGCGACCAGAGGGCTGGCATGGCCCTAGGCGCGGCCTTGGCGCTCGAAGGGAGCTCGCAGCCCTCGGCCCTCGCAGCCTTGTTGCCACCTGCCCTGGGCGAGGAGGTCGGGGACGCCTTCGCTGCGCTTGGGCACGACGTGTTCAGGGACAACAGCGTTTACGGTTGCAGGCGCTGCGGGTCTCACTGCGCTGCGGGAGATGTCCGCGCAGTGCGGAAGCTTGGCTTGAGGTGCGATGGGCCCTCGCCCGACGAGTCCACGCGCCGCAACCAGCAAGATGCGATCAGGCGCGTCGAGAGGGGCCTGGCGCCCCGTGCCCGACGTACCCCAGCAGCGCCGCCCCCGCAGGGGGGAGCTCTTGCAGCCACGCGGCGACCATGTCGTGATTCGCTGCCTTTCCGTGGTCGGCTGGTGGCACGGCGTCTTCGTCGGTGGTGACGCCTCCGTCGGCGGCAAGTTGGCCTGCGACTTCTTCCAGTTGCTCTCCTTCTACATTGCCTCCTGCTCTTGCGGCGCCGTGCCGCGAGTGGGCGGCGCCGGGGAGTGGTCCGTCGCGCGCCCGCGTGCGCGGCGGGGGACCTTCCCGAGGCGCTGCGCTCCTCCTCCTCCTCCTCCTCCTCCTCCTCCTCCTCCTCCTCCTCCTCCTCCTCCTCCTCCTCCTTTTCCTCCTCTTCCTCCTCTCACCCCCCCCTCGTTCGCCGCCGAGGCGGGGGGCCGGAGGAGGGGCGCCCGCGTGATCCCTTCGTGGCCGAATCAGGGAGCTCCCCCCACCGGCAGCGGCCTGCAGAGGCCCTCGCAGGGCCCCTGGGCCCGCCCAGTGCAGCCGGCGCTCGGGATGCGAAGCTGGCGGTCCAGTGGTCTACCTAGACACGATCGCGCCGCGAAGAAATCTGGACGGTGGTTTTTGGCTGTTTTCGGCTTCGGGGGACCCTCGCCTCGGGACCGTCAACAAACGATTCAGGACGACAAACCGGCCCCCGGGAAAGGGTGGGGACTTGCTCGACGATTCGGCTCGATGCGGAACCCGCTTTTCTCCTCGCCGACATCGCCGATGCGTCGCCGACGTCGGCGATGCATTGTCGATGCGTCGGCGATGCGGCGCGATCCCCCAATCCCATCTGATCCGACGTAACGCCACAGGGCAGGACGGAATTCGACCATGAATGATCGGGGTCGCGATCGATTCAAGTTGGAACGGTCGACGCGGTGTAAAAGATTTGCGCGCGCCGACGCCGCACGAACTTACCCCATACCCCCTCGCGCTGTGAAACAAAAAACGACGGCATGTTTGTTCGTTGTTTTCAGCCTCTGGGGGCCCCAACAGGGCCCCAGGATTGTCAACCAACAAATTCAGGATGAAAAACCAGTCCTTGGGAAGGGGTCCTGACCTCTGGGGGTCGACGTTGGAGAAAAAACGCAACGCCGGGGGTCCGGGAAAAGGGCCCCGAACCCCCTCGAGGGCAATCGACCGATTCCCTCGAGCTGTGCCTTCCGCGCCCTCCGCTGCGGCGGGTGCCGCCGCGGCGTGGCCGCGGTGGCCACAGAGGCTGCTGCTGCGGCGCGGCAGCCTCGCGTGCGCCCCTCGGGACCCAGCCCCCCGACGACGCGATTTGGTTCACAACGTCGACCCCCAGACATGATCGCGTTGTCAAAAAGATCGGGACGGGAGGTTCTTGGCCGCTTTCGGGCCCTAGGAGCCCTCATTGGGCCTCGGGGCCGTCAAACATCGACTCAGGAAGAGAAGCCGGCCCCGGGGAAAGGGTAGCGACTTCCAGGGACGTCGCACGTCTGGGTTCACAGCGTCGACCCCCAGAGGTTTGGGCCCCTTCCCCAGGGCCCGTTTTTCATCCCGAGTCGATCTTTGGCGGTCCCGAAACCTGATACAGGGCCCCCGGAGGCTGGAAATAGCGAAACAACTCCCGTCGTGACTTTTTCAAGGCGCGAGGGGGTCTGGGCCCGCAGGCACCAGGAAACTGCCGCCGCCGCCGCTCCCGAGGACCTCTCCCGGGGGCGCCTCCTGGCCGCGCTCCCGGGGCGAGGTGCAGGCCGGGCGCGTCCCTCACGACAGGCGGCGTTTTTTGTGGCAAGAACGGAACACGGCCCCCAAAAGACCCCCAAACAGTCAACAAAAAACATCGGAAGATCGCCCCCCTGTTTTTGGATTTAAAACAAAAATTGCCCAACAGAAAAATAAATCCCTCCTCTCTAGGGGGACAGGCCCGACTTCCGCCGAAGCGCGGGGCGCCGGCGCGGCGCGCCCCCCCCGCGGAGCGCCGCGCACCTTGCCGCGGAGGTGCGGGGACGGCTTCGGCGTGCACGCCGTGGCGCGGCAGGGCTTCGAGCCGGGCCCGCGGGGGGGGGGGCCGCCCGCGGCGCCCGAGGGGCTCCGGCGCGCGGGCGCTCCGCGGGCGCCGCTTCTTGATATATATATATATATATATATATATATAATACATACATACATACATACATACATACATACATACATACATACATACATACATACATACATACATACATACATACATACATACATACATACATACATACATACATACATACATATACAAGTGGCACGTGTGTGCCCAGGCTCATACGAAAAACTGAAGGGGCGTTTGAAGCAGGAGTGAAATGCAACATCGAAGTCGCACTCGAGCGCAAGTGGGGTTGCCACACCTTGCGATGTGTGTACCAGGGCCCCCAGGAAGCCTTAGGAGACCCGACTTGGATACCAGAAGAGGCTCCAGGAGGCCCCAGGATTGTGTGTGTGTGTGATGTATGCTTCGTGTAGTGCGTGCTTTTTGTGTGTTGTAGGTGTTGTGTGTGTGTGTTATGTTTGTCTAGCGTGTGATGTGTTGGGCGTGATTTGTGTCTCTGTGTGCATGTAGTTCTGAAGCCCCAGGAGGCCCCAGGCGGCCCCAGGCGGCCCCAGGAGGCCCCAGGAGGCCCCAGGAGACCCCAGGAGGCTTCAGGAGGCCCCAAGAGGCTCCAGGAGGCCGCAGGAGGCCCCAGGAGGCCCCAGGAGGTTTCAGGACACCCCCAGGAGGCTCCGAGGCGGGGTCTGGGGTGCCAGAAGGTTCAGAAGGCCCAGGAGGCCCCAGGAGGTTCCAGGAGGCCCCCAGGAGGCTCCGAGGCGGGGTCTGGGGCTCGATTTTGGAAGGATTTTTCAAGCGAAACCGCCACTCACTGAGAATCGGGGTCACAATTATTGAAATTACCATGTGTGTTTGAAGGTTTTATGTTAATATGTTGAATTTCCCATGTGTTTTTGGACCCTGACGTCGCGATCTGCGTGAGGGGTGCCACCGATTTTCAGAATTTCGAGGATGTCCGAGCGAAACGCCCAGAAAAATCGCGGACGCGTGCGCATTAATCGCCTCTGAGCTCTACTCCCTCGGAGAGGTGCGTGTGATAATATATATATATATATATATATATATATATATATATATATATGTATATATATATATTATATATAGGAGAGAAGGAGGGGGGGGGGGGGGGGGGGGGGGGGGAAATAGGGGGGAATAGGGGAGAAGGGGGGGATATAGGGGGGAGGGGGGGGGCTACGAGATCTGCTGCCCGCAGCCGGTCTCGGCCCCGCCGCCGGGCCCATTCCTCGATGCATGGCCGCCTCCCGGCGCCGGGAGGCGCCGGGAAACTCAGCTCAGCGAGCTGATTCTCACCCCCCCTCCCTTTGCTATCCCCCCCTTTCGCCCGGCCCGAGAAAAGCTTGCCGTGGTGCTCGCAGAAGAAGAAGAAGAAGAAGAAGAAGAAGAAGAAGAAGAAGAAGAAGAAACAAAAAAAAAAAAAAAAAAAACAGAAGAAAAAGAGTGCCGGAAGCATACACTTTGGTCCTGAAGGAGAGGAAAGGAGGGAGGCGCCACATAGAGAAAGCAGGACGCTATAGAGGAGAGAAGCGCCATAAACAGAAACCTTGGCGCTCCACGCGGATTTCTTGGATTTGCGCCCTGGCCCCCCTGGCGGCGCCCTAGGCGCCGCCCCTGGCGCGCTCCGTGCGCCAGGGAGGGGGGGCCAGCGTGGATTCGGCGCCCGCCGCTGGGAGCTCCGGCGCGTGCGCTCCTCGGATTTAGCGTCGGCTAGCGTCGATTTAGCGAGGATTAGCGTCGAATTGGCGTCGATTGGCATCGATTTAGCGTCGATTTAGCGTAGATTCGCGTCGATTCGCAAGAGCCGACAAGATGGTATAGGAGGCTCCCATGAGTTGCCATCGAAGGAGGAAGAGGAGGAGGAGGAGGAGGAGGAGGAAGAGGAGGAGGAGGAGGAGGATGGCTGCGTTGGAGTCGAACTCCAAAGCCGACAGCGACAGCGACAGGAGGAGGAGGAGGAGGAGGAGGAGGAGGAGGAGGAAGAGCAGCAGGAGGAGGAGGATGAGGAGGAGGAGGAGGAAGAGGAGGGCGACGGGTGGGCCAGGTTAAACAGCTGCGCCGACAATTGCGACCGCCTTCGCAGCTGCAGCACCTTGCGCCCTGCCAGTTCCTTCTCTTTCTTCGGGCGTTTCGCGATAGGGTGCGATAGTATTAGGTCGGGCATGCCCCCCTACAGGCGGATTTTAGGCGAAAAGTAAGAAATACCACAAACATGCCCAAACACAAGCAAAAAAACTAACGAATCGTCAAAAAATCGTCCCCGTTGTATTTGTTGACTATTTTTAATTATTCCTCCTGTAGAGGGACACGCCCGACTTAACGATAGCAGAAAGGGCGCGTTCTGTGGTCGCTTGGAGGGGGGGGGTAGAACTGGACCCCCCCTCCGCCCCCCACCCCCCCTTCTCGTGACGGAGGGGGGGGTTCGAACCCCCCCCCTCCCTGCTGCTTCCTCTCTCCTCGGGCCGGCGCTGCGCTTGCTTCGGCGGCGGCTGGCGACGGCGGCGGGAACGACGATTTCCATTTTATGGCCGGCGCCGGCGCCTGCGGCGGCGGGCGGCGGTGGCGGGGAGCGTCGACGAGGACGACGGTGGTGGTGGTGGTGGTGGTGGTGGTGGTGGTGGTGGTGGTGGTGGTGGTGGTGGTGGTGGTGGTGGGGGTGGTGGTGTGGCGGTGGTGGTGGCGGTGGTGGTGGTGGTTGTGGTGGTGGTGGTGTGGTGGTTTGTTGTGGTGGTGGTGGTGGTGGTGGCTGTGGCGGTGGGTGGTGGCGTGGTGGTGGTTTGGTGGTGGTGTGGTGGTGGTTTGTGGTGGTGGTGGTGGGTTGTGGTCGGGATGGTGGTGGTTTGGTGGTAGTATGGTGGTGGTTTGTGGTGGTGGTGGTGGTGGTGGGTTGTGGTTGTGGCGGTGGTTTGCGGAGGTGGTGCTTGTGGTGGTGGTGGTGGTGACGGTGGTGGTGGTGGTGGTGTGGGTGGTTTGTGGTGGTTGTGGTGGGTTGTGCTGCTGGTAGTGGTGGTGGTTGTGGTGGTGGTGTGGTAGATTGTGGTGGTAGTGGTGGTGGGTTTTTGTGGTGGTGGTGGTGGTGATGGTGAGTTGTGTTGGTGGTGGTTGTGGTGGTGTGGTGGTGGTTTGTGGTGGTGGTGGTGGTGGGCTGTGGTGGTGGCGGTGGTTTGTGGAGGTGGTGCTTGTGGTGGTGGTGGCGGGGGTGGTGGTGGCGGTGGTGGTGGTGGTGTGGTGGTTTGTGGTGTTGGTGGTGGTAGTGGGTTGTGCTGCTGGTAGTGGTGGTGGTTGTGGCGGTAGTGGTGGTGTGGTAGATTATGGTGGTGGTGGTGGTAGTGGTGGTGGGTTTTTGTGGTGGTGGTGGTGATGGTGAGTTGCGGTGGTAGTTGTGGTGGTGGTGGTGGCTGTGGTGGTGGTGGTAGTGGTTGTGTGGTGCTGTTGGTGAAGGTGGTGGTGGTGGTGGTGGTGGTGGTGGTGGTGGTGAGTGGTGGTGGTGGTGTGGTGGTAATCGTCGCTGCGTCCCCGCCGTAGCCGGTGCCAGCGCCGGCGCTGCTGGCCGCCGCCAGCGCCGGCGCCGAGGGGGGGGGGTTTGAACCCCACTGGGCTGCCTCTGGTCATCCTCGCTGCGTCCCCGCCGTGGGCGCTGCTGGCGGCCGCCAGCGCTGGCGCCAGCGCGGAGGTGGGGTGGGAGGGGGGGTTGAGCCCCCCCCTCTGGGAGGTGAGGGGGGGGGGGTTCGGGAGGGGGGGGGGGGGGGTGGGGGGAGGGGAGCCCCCCTGGTTTTGATCGACGGCGCCGAGTGTTGATGGGGGGGCCCCCCCCCGGTTTGAAACGCGCCGCCGAATGTTCCCAAGGCCAGCGCCCGTGAAACGCGTTCTCTCCGATAGCAAGACTTGGATGCGAGCCGCGGGGAGCCTTCTCTGTAGGGTTGGCGTCTGGTGCCGGCGGGCGGCGACGGACGCGCGGGCGGCTGCAGGATCATCACGTTCCGCCTGCACTTACTCTTAAGTCGGGCATGTCCCCCTGCAGGGGGGATATTCAAACATAGTCAACAAATATTATGTGGACGATGTGTTGACCATTATTGGGTATTCTTATGGTACTTCTTGGGTATCTTTTATTTTTCGTCCGAAATCCGCCTGTCGGGGTACACGCCCGACCTAACTTATTCGCCATTCACTCACAGACGAAGGTCCCGATCGAGAGTTCCGCCATATCCCGGTTTGGAGAGGCCAGAAGTGACGACAGTTACAGGGCTCCGATGGCCCGCTCGGATTAGTCGCACGAGCTGCGGGCCCCATGGGGCAGGGGCTCCCGCCTGGGACTTCTCGGTATTCACTCACATGCGATGCTCCCGCTCGAGACTTCCGTCAGTTCGAACATGAAGAGGTTCAAAACCCTAATAAAATCAATTATTTTTGCTTCAAAGACGAGCTGAGGCACCAAACTCTCCCCCCCCCTCGGGGCCAGAATCCTCGTGAGGGTCGTCGTTTTTTGGCCCTCCCAGACGTCGAAAAAGACCCCCCTGACGACCCGCGGAACTCCCTCTCCAGGTCCAGGGGGAGGGGGTAGGGGGAGGGGTAAACCCCTCCCCGAAGGGGAAGAAGGGGGGTTGAGGACAGAGAGAGCTCCCTAAACCACTCACGCCCAAAGGGCTGGTGGGATTGACGATTGTTACAGATTTCCGGTGACCCGTTCGGATTGGTCACATGAGCTGCGGGCCCCATCGGGAGGGGGGTCCCCCTGATGCTTCCTTGCTGTTCACTCACAGACGAGGCTCCCGAGAGAGACTTCCGGCGTATTCGGGACCGGGGAGCCTAAAAGTGACGAAAGCTACATGGTTCCGATGACCCGTTCGGATCAGTAACGTGATCTGCGTGCCCCATAGGGAGGCGGGACCCGTAGGGAGTTGACTCCCGCCTGAGAGTTCCTCGCGATTCACTACCAGACGAGGGTCGACCCGAGATTTCAGGCACATTCAGGACTGAGAAGGCCAACAGTGACGATTGCTACAGGGTTCCGATGGCCCGTTCGGATTAGTCACATGATCTGCGGGCCCGGGCTCCCGCCTGAGACTTCCTCGCTGTTCACTCACGATGATGATGTGGGGATGTCTTTATTGCGCGGGGAGGTCCAGAGAAAACATTGTGGTGACGGTGATGATCATGATGATGATGATGATGATGCTGATGATGATGATGATGATGATGATGATGATGATGATGATGGTGGTGGTGGTGATGATGATGATGGTGATGGTGATGGTGATGGTCATGGTGATGGTGATGATGATGACGATGATTGTGATGATGATGGTGAGTGTGATGGTGATGATGGTGATGATGATGGTGATGATGATGATGATGATGATGATGATGATGATGATGATGATGATGATGATGATGATGATGATGACCATTGACCATCATGGGATGATGGTAGTGATTATCGATGGTGATGACGGTACGATGATGCTGACGATGATGGCGATGGCGAGTGTGAGAACATGGTGAGGGTGAGAGGGGGTGTGAGGTGGGAGGTGGGAGGACTGCGCGGGGGGGGGTAGAGAAAACAAGAGCCCCATTTTAGATGTGGGAAGAAATTGTATTACACAGAAAACTAGAGAGGCTCACATCAGCGTTCAATGGCGGTGAAGGTTGTTTTTTATCTAACAGCGAAGACTGATAGGTTTCTAGTGGGGTCAAAAGAGAGCATCTTCACGCCCCAGGGGGGTCTGGGCGGGATCCGGACGGGATCCGGGGACTCTTTCTTTAGCCAACAGTAACTCACTTCGTGGTCTTCGAGTTCCCAGAACTCCGTTCCTGGGCATGATTTTGAATGCCCGGAGCCAACTGTAGGCCACTTCGTGTTCTTCGAGTTCCCAGAACTCCATTCTTGGGCATGACTTTGAATGCCCGGAGCCAACAGTAGGCCACTTCGTGGTCTTCGAGTTCCCAGAACTCCGTTCCTGGGCATGATTTTGAATGCTGGGAGCCAACTGTAGGCCACTTCGTGTTCTTCGAGTTCCCAGAACTCCATTCCTGGGCATGATTTTGAATGCCCAGAGCCAACTGTAGGCCACTTCGTGTTCTTCGAGTTCCAAGAACTCCATTCCCGGGCCACATTTTGGATGCTGAGGCAGGATGATGCTGAGGTTCATGCAGGCTGAGGCTGAGGCAGGCGGAGGCTGAGGCCGAGGCTGAAGGCAGACTGATGCTGAGGCTGAGGCTGAGGCGGAGGCAGGCTGAGGCTGAGGCTGAGGCAGGCTGAGGCTGAGGCAGGCTGAGGCTGAGGCTGAGGCTGAGGCAGGCTGAGGCTGAGGCCGAGGCTGAAGGCAGATTGAGGCTGAGGCTGAAGCAGGCTGAGCTGAGGCTGAGGCAGGCTGAGGCTGATGCTGAGGCTGATGCTGAGGCAGGCTGAGGCTGAGGCTGAGGCTGAGGCCTGAGGCCGAGGCTGAGGCAGACTGAGGCTGAGGCTGAAGCAGGCTGAGGCTGAGGCTGAGGCTGAGGCTGAGGCTGAGGCTGAGGCTGAGGCTGATGCTGAGGCAGGCTGAGGCTGAGGCTGAGGCTGATGCAGGCTGAGGCTGAGGCAGGCTGAGGCTGAGGCCGAGGCTGAAGGCAGACTGAGGCTGAGGCTGAAGCAGGCTGAGGCTGAGGCTGAGGCAGGCTGAGGAGGCTGAGGCTGAGCTGCAGGCTGAGGCTGAGGCTGAGGCTGAGGGCTGAGGCTGAGGCTGAGGCTGAGGCCTGAGGCTGAGGCTGAGGCTGAGGCTGAGGCTGAGGCTGAAGCAGGCTGAGGCTGAGGCTGAGGCTGAGGCTGAGGCTGAGCTGAGGCAGGCTGAGGCTGAGGCTGAGGCTGATGCAGGCTGAGGCTGAGGCAGGCTGAGGCTGAGGCCGAGGCCGACGGCAGACTGAGGCTGAGGCTGAAGCAGGCTGAGGCTGAGGCTGATGCAGGCTGAGGCTGAGGCTGAAGCAGGCACATGCTGAGGCAGGCTGAGGCTGAGGCTGAGGCTGATGCAGGGTGAGGCTGCTGCAGGCTGAGGCTGAGGCCGAGGCTGAGGCAGACTGATGCTGAGGCTGAAGCAGGCTGAGGCTGAGGCTGAAGCAGGCTGAGGCTGAAGCAGGCTGAGGCTGAGGCTGAGGCAGGCTGAGGCTGTGACTGCGACTGCCGTTGCCACTGCGACTGTCATCGCGAATGCGACAACGACTGCGAGAACTGCAGAATTCTACAACTGGATTCTCATTTGAATCTTAAGGGGAATGCTTCCACATATGCTCCTACACATCGCTGTTTGGTTGCTTTGCCGGGATAATAAGAATTCGGAAAATATCAAAATGCTTTTCGCCGCAACGGTAGTCAGTAGAAGGCAGCGAAAGTGGGGAGTGGACGAAATATGGACTGCGCTGCATCTGTGAGTAAACGTGATGGTGCCACGCATTTGGGCAGATGACAGGGCAGGAATGAATCATGTGCGATAACATCTGATATAAGATGGTAGTCTGAGGTCGAAGTCGCCACGGTCTCCGAAGCCGTCCGACGCCAGGCGCCATCGGTGTTACACCCCTTCGTTTTACTACTTCTGCGGCGGGGGGTCACCGCGCGGTCCTCGCCCAAGCGTAGCGATTATACTCACGTTTGCTCTTGCCCGCGTCCGGAACACACGGACTAAACACGGGGCGCTTCGGTTTCGGTAGGCATCATGGATAAAGACCATGCCGACCAGCGCATGTATAGTCTTATCCACATTACCTCATGCAACAGCAGTGCGCGTTGAGATGCCTACCTCGTTGGGGGTATGCTCTTTTTTCTTACCTCGTTTTTGTGTGCCTCTCACCCGCTGGGTGTTGTCTTACATGTGCTTGAATTCTTGCGATGGCGATCGGTCGGTGGTACACAGAGCTGCGTATGTTTGCAACATCTGCGTGAGCGCGAGGCTATACACAATTTGCGTTTCGAGGCCTGGGTTGTAGACCTGTTCTTCTCCAAGGGCCTGGCGCGAGAGTGCGGAGATAAAACGCGCTCTGCGCAGCGACAGGCGCGACGTTATGTGACCTGGATGTGATGACCAGAGGCGGCGAATGATGCGGCTGGCAATGGGGCTGAAACCACCAGGGCACACATCCCCAGAGCCCCGACGTCTCGATGTTTGTTGCAACGGGGATCTCTGGAGTTCTATGGGATAGGTTGTTCATCCCGAGTCGTTCCCTGACGGCCCCAGGGCCCGGCGAGGGCCCATGGAGGCTGAAAATTGCCAAGCGGCCGCCGCCGTGTTTTTTGTGCTCGCAGTAGGAGGACAGGGGAGGGGGTCCGAGCTCGCGACGCAAGCCCTGGACGTGCACTTTTCGCGCGGAAGTTGCCGCCGCGATGCGGTCCCAGCGGCCGCCGCGGCCTCCGTTGCGGCCTCGACGGTGGCCGCCGCTGCGGCCGCGGCGGCGGCCGCGGCAGCACGGCACCTGCCGCGCGGCGGAAGGTGCGGAAGGTGCAGGTCGAGGGAGGCAGCGCCGGTTGGCGCCGGTTGGCAGCGCCTGAGGTGGGGCGCAGCCTCCACGGGGCAGCCTCAGCCGCTCGCCCTTGCGCTGACCGGCGGAGGGCGCGCTCGCGCCCGCGCTCGCCCCCTCCCCCTCGACTACAGACGTAAGAGTGACCTTCCGCCGGAGTGACCTCTGGTGCGGGCCCCAGGGGGCCCCCCGATCGGTGAGCTCGACGCGAACGCAGCGGCTGCTTTCGCGGCTGGTTTTGGCCACTCTGCGCCCCCTCGTTCAGCGCTCCGAGGATCTTGCTTTCCTAGGGTTCCGTCGGGGGGAGGGAGCTGACTAGGGGGGGGGGATATCATGGCGTGGGCCATGCTATTCCCCCAGATTTCATGGCGCCTCTTCGTATTGCATTGCGTTCCCTGGCCCCCCCCCCCAGGGCCGCGCACATGCCTCGGGCCACGATTTGCGCCCCCCCCCCTTGGCCGCCCCCGAGCAAGCGGGGGCCGAGCAGCTGGGTCGGAGGATCGCGCCGCACCGCCGATGCATCGGTGGTGCGGCTCGATCTGAAGCCCGATGTTCACCGCGCCGGCGTCACCGATGCACCGCCGACGTCGCCGATGCATCGGCGATGCGGCGCGATCCTCCGACCCCATCCACTCGGACCTCATTTGGGAGACCTCTAGTCGCGTCGACGCGGCGGCGACCCTGCCGCGGGCGTTCGAGGCTGAGCGCCGCCACTGGCCCAGAAGCGCCCAGTATCGCACGATCCGGCGATCGGAAAGTCGCGGATCGCTCGGAGTCGAACGATGCACGTGGTTGCAGAATCCAGCTCCGGCGTTGTCGCGACACGAGCCAGCTCGTCAGTGCTGGGCCCTTGCGTTCCATCCCGCGCCCCCCGGCCGCGCTCGGAAGGGGACCTCGTGCTCAGCGAGCGCGCCCTGTTGAACATCCCCGAGGCCCACCGCCAAAGCGTGTCCACGCCCACTGCCTCGGAGTCGCGCCCTGGGGTCTCGCGGAGGGGCGGAAGGGGATGTCTGCCTGCCCCGCCCGCACGGCCGGGCAGATGCCAACGCCCACCGCTCCCCGAGTCCCTGAGGCATGACCCCACGCCAGATAGGGGGCCACATGCGAACCCTACCCCTACCCCCCACGATTTCTGAGGGGGAGGGTGGGGATCACTTCGACCGGGAGCTCCCGAGCGAAGTGAACCCCACCCTCCCCCTCAGAAAGCGTGAAAGGGGTAGGGGTGGAGTTCGCATCTGGCCCCCTACCGGACCCTCGGCGTCATGTTTTGTCACAGCGCTGACCCCCGGAGGTCTCGACCCGTTCCCGGGGGCCGGCTTCTCATCCCGAGCCAATGTTCCACGGCCCGTGGGCGCGGCGAGGGCCCCCGGAAGCCGAGCACCGCACGAAAACGTCTGTCGTCATGTTGTTCACGACGCGAGGGGGTCCAGGGACCCTGACACCCTCGCGCCGTGAAAAAAGCACGTCGGGAGGTTTTTCGCTCTCTTCGGCCTCTGGAGGCCCTTACCTGGCCTCGGGGCTGTCAACAAACCGACTCGGGATGAGGAGCCGCTCCCGGGGAAGGGGTCCAGACCTCTGTGGGGGTCGACGCCGCGAGCAAGATCGCGACGTCGGGGGTCTGGGAGGTGGACGTGCTCTGGCGGTGCGTGAGGTCCCCGCGCAGCTCCGGCAGGAGCTCCAGCGCCAGTTCGGGCAGCTCGCGTCCTTCCTGGAGCCCGCGGTCGCCGTCGACTGGTCCCGCGTGGACGAGGCGCGCGCGGCACTGAGCGCACCCGCCCGAGACGCCGAAGATCCATCGGTCGTTGCAAGCACTGCGGAAGTCGACTTATGGAGAGGAGGCAGGCTGCCAAATACATCCCAGATGTCTAAAACACGGTTCAAACATATTTGTTATGTGTGAAAGCATGCGTGAAGCATGTTACGTTTAGGACCTGTGTTACACATTTCACAAACACATCCAAGGTATTTCTCGGATTCCGAGATCCCAATCTACTTCTCTCGGGGGTGGACAGACCTCCTACCCTGACACGTCGATTAAGGAATTGGCCGTTTTCGGTTCGCGAGGGGGCGTCGCGGTCCAGGTCCGTCGGTTTCGGTCCCAGGCCGTTTTCACTAAGGGGAGGTTTACTAAAGGGAGGTTTGTCCACCGCCGTTTTTACTCGGGTTGACCCCAAATTGGGTCCAGCGACAAGAGGATGGTGCAATAGATTTGGTGCAATAGACTTGTGGGGTTGCAATAGATTTGGGCCGTGCAATACATTCCGGGGCGCAAGTGCATTGCTGGACGTTCGCGTGCAACACATCACTTGCAACACAATGCAATACAATTTTCCGGCGCAATACATTTGCAAAATATTTGCCCCAAATTTATTGAATCGCTTCGCTCACTCCGCCGGCCCATTTCGCATGACTGAGCCTCTTGGGGCCGCTGGGGGGCCTCTTCAGCGTCGCTTGGGGGCCTCCTGAGGGCCTCTTGGGGGCTTTTGGGGCCTCTCAGGGGCCTCTTGAGGCCTCCTGGGGGCTTCTTAAGGCCGAGGGCTCGAAGTTTTGTTTTGTGTTCCCCCTTTGGGGCATCGCTTGGGGCCCTCTTGGGCCCCTCTTGGGCCGTCTTGGATGCCTCTGGGGCCGTCTTGGAGCCCTCTTGGGCCATCTTGGGGCCTTCTTGGGAGCTTCTTGGGCCCTCTTGGGGCGATCTTGGGGGCCTCTTGGGCCGTCTTGGGGCGTCGGGAAGCCGAAAAGATGGACACGCCAAAATCTGCCCAAAACCTAAGGAAAAGTAATGAATTTTGCCTCTTGGGGCCCTCTGGGGAGTGCTCTTGGAGGCCTCTTGGGGCGTCTGGGGGCCATCTTGGGCGTCTTGGAACGATCGTGTGGCATCTCGGAGCACTCTTGAACCATCTTGGAGGGCTCTTGGCGGCCTCGTGGCCCTTCTTGGGGCTCTCTGGAGGGCCACGGGGGCGGCGCCCAGGATGAAAACCATCTCTGACCCGACCCTGCCGGGGATCGCCCGGGGTACTTTTCGTCCGGGGACCCCCAGGGACCGACCCGCGCGCGCGAAGTAGAAGTATTATTTAGCAGTCACCGGAGATCTTAGCACGCCTCTGGCCCGTTGAGCCGGCGAATTGCACCACCCCCTTTCAGCTGGACCCCCTTTTGGGTCACCCAAAGTAAGCGCCTTCCTACTTCAATGATCGAGTGGCTTCACCTTTTCCGTCCTCCTTGGGGGGCGGGGCGGAAACCCAACCTGCTCTCAGCGCCTTCCTGCTTCATGTTTCTGCCCACCTCTTCCGACCGATGGGCGTGCGGTCGGGAACTTTTGGATAGCGTGTCGCTCCGCCGGTTCTGGCCCCGGCCGCGACACGTTATCCATGTCCTGGTCCCCGGGCGTCAGTGTCCCGCGGGATTCTCCGAGCGGTACCGCCCCGGGGAGTGGAGCGACACGCGCTGTCCACGTGCAGGGCATAGAGCGTGCCGCTGGGGCCGCCGCCGCGACACGCTGTCCACGAGTTCCTGACGGCATAACCCAGACCCCCTCGGGCAATGAAAAAATCACGACTGGAGGTTTTAAGCCATTTTCGGCCTCTGGGGGCCCCAACCGAGCCTCGGGAGCGTCAAACAACGACTCGGGATGGAAAACCGGTTCAGGGGAATGGGTCGAGGCCTTTGAGGGTCGACGTTATGTCAAAATCATTACGTCGGGGGTTTGGGAACCGTGGGACGTAATTTACGATCCTTTCCCCCCCCCTTATCGGCGAAGCCGTATCGTTTCTTAGCCGACCTGGTCCTGGCCAGGACCACCCTGGGCTCCCAGACCCTCTCGCGTCGCGGCAAAAATCACGACGGGAGGTTTTTGTGGCTGCTCTGAGCCTTTGGGGGCCCTCGCCGGGCCACTGGACCGTTAACAAGAACGGCGCGGGATGGAAAGCTGGTCTCAGGGAATGGGTCGAGACCTCTGGGGGTCGACGTCATGAAACGATCATGACGCTAGGGGTCTGGGCCCAGCTCATACCCCCGACGTCGTGATCTTATCCCGAGTCGTTTCCTGTCGGTTCTGGGTCCGGTGAGGGCCCCTGGAGGCCAAAAATTACCAGAAGCCTCCCGCTCGGGGGAAGAATTAGAACAGGGACCATGACCAAGATGCCGCGGGATCGTGTCGGTGCCGATCTTGGTCATTGGTCCGTGTCGGCCGTCGCCAACTCGCGAGGATGATCCATGAATCGGCGCTGACCAGCCCCGCTGCGGCTGCTGCGGCGGCCACCGTGGAGGCCGCAGCGGCGGCACCTTCCGCGCGGAAAGGTGCGGAAGGTGCAGGTCCCTGAGTTCCGACGCCCGGAGCACTAGACACCCCATCTTCCTGCGTCAGTTTTCAAGCTGGATGGATCTGTGGGGGTCTTTGGGCCCGAAAGTAGGCGAAAACGCCCGGCTCGAAGAGATCGAGACGCTAGGATCTCAGGGTCGAGGGCCAGACCTCCTCGCGCCACGGGGGGATGCACAGTCGCGGCGGGCGTTTTTTTTTGTTGTGTAACTGGCTGCTTCTGGGGGGCCCTCCCCTGGCGACCTCCTCCCGCTGTGCGGGGGATCAAAAATCACGACTGGCAGGTGAGCGCGTTTCCTGCCCCCCCCCACCCCCGGGGTAACGCTCGTCACCTGGGCCAAACCCGCTCTCCCCACCTCCTCCGGGTAACGCTAACGATCCTATTGGGAGGGGGGGGGGGGGGGCTGGACCCCCCCCTCAACATGCCGCGGCCGCCGTTACCGTTACCCTCTCGCTCCAACCCCCCCACCACCCTCCCCCTGGGTAACGACCGTCACCCAGCAAAGAAAAAAATACAGCCACCAGTTTGGGGATCATTTTCTGATTCTGGGGGCCCTCACCTCACCAGGCCCCGTAATTTTGCCCAGAAGCGGCCCAGGATGAGACGCCAGACCCCCCTAACGTCGTGTTTTTTTTCACAGCGTCGACCCCCAGAGGTCTGGACTCCCCTTGCCTGGGACCAGTTTGTTATCCCGAGTCGTTTGTTGAAGGCCCCGAGGCCCAGTGAGGCCCCCCAGAGGCCGAAGATTGCGAAAGACCTCCCGTCGTGTTTCCTCTACAACACGAGGGGGTTTGAGCCTGTCCCGTCGTCAGCGCTCCAGACCCAGACATGCGACGTCTTGATTTTTTCAATACGGGCTCCCTGGAAGTCCCGAACCTTTCCCCGGGATCGGTTTTTCATCCCGAGTATTGTTTTACGGTCCCGAGGCCCGGCGAGGGCTCCGCGAGGCCGAAAACGGCCGAAAATTTGCCCTCGTGTTTTTTTTTTCGACGCGAGTATTTCTGGGTCTCCACCACCCAGACATGATCGCGTCCTAAACAGTAGATTGTTCCGTATTTTCGCACTCTAGAGACCCTTAACGGTTTTCGGGACCGTCAAACAATGCTTCAGGATGAAACACTTGTCCAGGGGAATAGGTCGAGACCTCTTAGGGTCGACGTTATGGAAAAACATGACGTCAGGGGTGTGGGGAAGCGACAGTCGAAGCCCGTCTAGAAAAAACGGTCGTCAGTAATCAGAGGCCTGGCCAACCTCCTCAGACAGAATCGCGTCGTAATTCGGATGAGAGGTTCTTGACCGTCTTCGGCCCCTGGGAGCCCTCGCCGGGCCTCGGGACCGTCAAAAAACGACTCGGGAGGAAAAAACGCTGGTCTGGTGGAACGCGTCGGCACTTCCAGGGACCCCGTGTTGAAAAAAGCAGGGCCGCTCTGAGTGGCCTTGTCTTCTCCTCCCCCCCCCGCGCGGCCGCCTGTTCCGCCCTCTGTCCCACTCTTGCACTGCTGGCCAGTGCGCTTTCCTATGCCCTCGTCTAGCTCTATCGCTGGCGCAGCCATCTCTGCCTCGCCGCCGACGAGCAAAAAGTCTGGGGAGCCCCTGCCGCAGCGCGGGGGGAGGGGGGGCGCCTCAGCCCCGGCGGGCACCGGGGCGGGCTCCTCCTCCCGGGCTGGCTCTTGCGAACGCTCCCGAGGCCTCCAGACTGTTGGAGGAAAGATGTTTGCAACACTTCGGATGGCACGGCTGCTCCCCCCCCCGCCCCCCCCCCCCCGCGCCCCCGAATTTGGTGTTGGTAGTTGTGACATCTCCCGGGGCCGTTCGAAAAAACAAAGTTACATTCCATTTCAGTGCGCGCGCTCGCTCTCAACGTTAAGGTCGGGGGCGGAGGGGTCGTATCATCAGTTGTCGTGCCGCCCAGGTGGTGAAAACTTGTTTCTTTCAACCGGATCTCCAGCGGAGCCTAAACTCGACCAACAAACAATCGGCACCACCCCACTTACGGCCCTGCCTGCGATCCTGGCGTTGCCATCTTTTTGCAACACCTGCGCTTTCGCTCCATGTTTCGGGCCCAGGGACCCTCACATATCGATCCGGCTCGAACAATGACGCAGAAAGATAGCGTTTGGGGTTCCGGTCGTGATTTTTCCCGGTGTTGCGTTTCTTGGCATCTTGACAACGTCGGATCTAAGGGCTCCATGTTGCGCTACGACCCGTCGAGGGGCCGTAACGCATGCCACGCAAAAGCCCACGCCGAGATCCTGGCACACGCCAAGCCTCGTTCGGCGACTACAAAGGGTATGGTTACGCCCGGGTGTGGTTTGCGATCGGCACCGTTGGGGCCTGCGGAGCATGACGCTGTCCTCGTCGGGCCTCCTCGGGGCGCGGCGGAGAGCTCTGTCGAGGTCCTCGCCCGCCCCGCAGGGGGTCCCAGTTGCAAACCGCGCCCTCTGCAAACCACGCCCTCCGGAGTCGCCGACCCGTGGGGCCGCAGGCGGGGTGGTGTCGTTCGCTTCCTGGTCCGGAAGCGCTCCATCCGACGCGTGCTCGCCGTCCTGTTCGGGGCCGGGGGCCCCCCGCTGGGCCCCTGGACCGTCCAAGATCGCTCCGGGATGAGAAGCCAGCCACGGGGGAACATTTCCCAGACTCCCGACGTCGTGAGTTTTCTTCCTCCTCCTCCTCCTCCTCCTCCTCCTCCTCCTCCTGCATGACCCAGACCCCCCGCGTCGTGATTTGTTCACAACGTCGACCCCCAAAGGTCTGGACCCATTTCCCGAGACCGGTTTCTCATCCCGACTCGTTTTTGGACGGCCCCGAGGCCCAGCAGAAGGGCCCCCGAAGGCCGAAAGCAGTGAGGAACTTCCCGTCGTCATTTTTTCACAGCGCGAGGGGGTCTGGGATTCGAAGGCCCCGTGCTGACATCCAAGTCTGGGCCCGGGGGGCGATGCATGCCCGCTCCCCCGCGCGCGCACGTCGTGCCAGACCGTCTGTCAAAACATGGCGCCCCCAGCCTGGCTCTCCACGGTCTGGAGCCGGACCGTCTCTGTGGCGGTGGTGTACAACAAAATTCGTGCCGCCAGAAGCCGACCTCAGGCCGAAGGTGGTGATAGGCCAGCCCTTGAGATCCTGGTGCTGCAGTTTCTTTGCTGCGAGCGTTTTCGCTCCATTTCGGGCCCTGTGCAGTTTTCATTTTTCTGGTGCACGTGTTCTTCTTTTATGCATGAATCACGCCGTTCCCGCAAGCGGGATGAGACATCCTAGGGCGCTCGATCGGACTTGTGCTTGCTTGTGCTTGGACCCTCAAAAATCGATCCAGCTCGAAAAATTAGGCACAAAGATGGGGTCTAGGGCTCTGGGCGTGATTTTTGCGATGTTGTGATTTTCTGCAACGTCGGATCTCAGGGGCCACCCCGCTTGCTTGGGGCACGCCGATGTGGAGCCCGATTTCCCCCACGCCGACGTCGCGGATGCGTCGCCGATGCGTCGCCGATGCATCGGCGATGCCTCAGCGATGCCTCGGCGACACATTGACGATGCGGCGCGATCCGTCGAGCCCGTTTACTCGGACCCCACCTAGGAGGCCTCTAAGACGCTGGCCTCAGGCCGAAAGTGGCGACACAGGCCAGCCACCTCGATGGCTTCGGGCACCTGGCGCGTTTGGGGGGGGCGGTGCCGAGGCTCTCCGTAGCCGCTCTCGGCTGAAGGCCGCGCGGCTCGAGCGGGGCCTTGCTTGGCGACCCCGCGCGGCCGCGGCCCGTGCCGGGGCCCACGAGACATTGGGGCTTTGCTGACCTGGACCCAGTCATCATCGCGTTGTGAAAAAGATCAGGGCGGGAGGTTGTTGGCCGTTTTTGGCCTCGGAGGGCCCTCGCTGGGCCTCGGGACCGTCAAAAAGCGACTCAGGATGAAAAACCGGTCCCGGGGAAAGGGTCGGGACTTCCAGGGGGCCCCGCGTTGAAAGATCAGGACGTCGCACGTCTGGGGACGTCGAGTTCCTGGCGTCGCAATTTTGTCGAGCCAGGCGTTTTCGCCTTGTGTTCGGGCCCCTGGGGCCCTCACAGGTCGAATCGGCGCGAAAAACGGCGCAGGAATATCGGGTCTGGGGCTCCTGGCGTGGTTTATTCACGATGTTGCAATTTTTGTCGCCACGTCAGATCTCAGGGGCTGCCAGATCCCGATCGAGGAAGCAAAGAGCTCAGAGATCCAACGCGCAAAGAAATCAGGGCGGAGGTCTTCGCCGTCGTCGGCCTCGTAGAGGCCCTCGCCAGGCCCCAGCGAGCTGAGACAACGGTCGTGGGCCTTCGGGGGGGGGGCCTCGCCGCCATGGCCAGACGCGGCTCGGTTTTCGGTGCGCTTGGCCACGGCAGGGCTGGACCTAATCGGTGTGTGTTGGCTATGAATATCGTAGGCCGGTTTTTTAATTGTTTAGGTTTGCATTCAAGGCGAAGCGAAGGCATAATGACGATGCTGCCAGAGAAAAGCCCCAATCTGAGCCTTTGTTGTTTTACCAGGACATGATTTGACGTTGCACCTCTTGGACGACGACGGTGACAGAAAGGAGGACACCAACGTAATACTCTCGAAGGTCTACGAGGTGTTTTAGGTAAAGTTAATGGGGCTATCGGGCTATAGAGCTACAGGGCTATGGGGCTGTAGGGCCATAGGGCTATAGGGCTATGGGGCTATAGGGTTATAGGTTTATGGGGTCATAGGGCTAGGGCTATAGGGCTATGGGGCTATGGGGCTATAGGGCTATAGGGCTATAGGGCTATGGGGCTATGGGGCTATATGGCGATAGGGCTAATCGGCGCTATAGGGCTATGGGGTCATAGGGCTATTGGGCTATAGCACTATAGAACTATATGGCTATGGGGCTGTAGGGCTATAGGGCTATAGGGCTATAAGGTTATAGGGCTATAGGGCTATAAGGACTGTAAGGCTGTGGGGTTAGAGGGCTATATGGCTATACGGCTATGGGGCTATAGGGCTATAGGGCTACAGGGCTATGGGGCTATTGGGCTAAAGGGCTATACCGCTATAGGGCTATAGGGCTAGATGGCTATGTGGTTATAGGGCTATTCGGCTAAAGGGCTATAGGGCTACAGGGCTATAGGGTTCTAGAGCTACAGGGCTATCTGGCTATAGGGCTATCGGACGGTCGGGCGGGCTATGGGGCTATAGGGCTATAGGGTTGTAGGGCTATAGTGCGGGGCACCCAGGCACCCGGGCACCTGGGCACACGGCAGGGCCGCCGAAATCGGCGACGCAGCTCCCGGGCACCCGGGCACCCAAGCACCGGGGCACCCGGGCGTGCCGCCGAAATCGGCGACGCAGCTAACCTAACCACATGAATCCGCTAGGACCCCTACAGAGGCAAGCTCTGATTGGGGAAATAACGAAAAACAAAACAAAAGCGAAAGACACCGTTTAGTTTCAGCCTTGGACCCCTGGAAGGGTCCGAGGACCGATTGTGAGCTGCTGTTGTGTCAACTCGCCCTGCTCGCAGACCCACGGCCGCAGTCTGCTCGGGCGCTCCGATGTCCTGGCTGATCCAAGCCCCGAATACCGCAAGAAACCTCGATGAGATTTATGATGTTCCAACTTACTCTCGCCTTGATCACCAGATAGAAGTTCGAGCACCAAGGGAATGCCGAAACTGGAGGGTTTGCCCATGTCGGGCCCTGGGAGGCGATACTCGTTCGACACCAAGCCAGCGTGTCGGACTGACCCTGTTTCGATCTCTCTCTCTCTCTCTTTCCCTCTCTGGGTGCTCGAAATTGTTTGTGGGTTGTGGTCCTCAAAGTACGATGGGAACAACATCATATTAGGCACCTATAGTAATGTCGGGCACGTCCCTCTACAGGAGGAATAGTCAAAAGTAGTCCAAAAATAGTGCGAGGACGACTTTGTGACTACTTTTTGACTATGTCGGAGCATTTCTGGGCTATTTTTCATTTTTTGCCCAAAGTCCGCCTGTAGGAGGACATGCCCGACCTAACCCTGTAGGCCCCATCTTTCCACGGCATGCTTCGAGCCCGATCGATCCGGGACGGCCCCTGGGGCCCCACACGGGGCGGCGGCGCCTGGTGCGGAAAAAGTGCAGCGTCCGCATTCTGGGGAAATTTTGGCGCACTTACCAAAAGGACAACCGTCGGGTTGGGAGGACCCTGAGATCCTGGCGCTTCGATTTTTTTCGAGCCGGGCGCTCTCGTCTTCTATTCGGTCGGGGCTCAAGAGACGGGGGTCAATGCAAACGGGGGTCAGCCAGGGCGCCAGATCTTGCAGGATCTTGCAGGGCCAGGCTCCCATTGACCCGGGTTTGGGTGCAGGGTCCTGCAAGATTTTGCAGGATCCTTCGCATTGTCCCGGGTTTGGGTGCAGGGTTTTGCAGGATCTTGCAGGATTCTGCAAGGCCTGGCTGACCCGAGTCTGGATTGACCCGGGTCAGAAGATCCCCGATTCGGGCCCCGGGACCCTCACATATCGATCCGGCTCCAAGAATGACGCAGAAAGATGGGGTCCAGGGTCCAGTCGTGATTATTGTCCGATGTTTTTGTTGGGCAACGTCGGATCTCAGGGGATGGGCCTGGGAGACATGATCAGATCATCCGTATGATCGCGTGTGTGGATTGGGCCTGTTACACGGTCGTGCCCTGTATCTTCCCACCGCTTCCTCCCAACCGTATGATTTCGGTCCGCACGACACGGTAGGATAGGGAAAGGGGGGGGAGGGACGAAATTTGCTGCGTGCAGTTGCTCTCCGCCCCGCTGCCAGGGGCCCCCTCCCGCTGCACGTGGGCGCCTCCCGGCGCCAGGAGCCGCCAGGAAAGCCAGCTGCGTGACGGATTCTCTGCCCTGCCCTGTGCTGTCCTACTCTGCCGCCACCCCCCCGCGTGAGTTGTCTTCCCAGACGTGGTCGCGTCGTAGAAAAATCAGGACGGCAGGTTTCTAGCCGTTTTCGGCCTCGGGGGGCCCTCGCCGGGCCGCGGGACCGTCCCAAAACTGACCCAGGACGAAGAACCAGTCCCGGGGAAAGGGCCGGTATTTCCAGGGACGACCCCGCACTGAAAACGTCAGGGCGTCGCATGCCTGGGCCTCTCTCGCTCTCAAGGCCCCCGTCTGCGGGGCCCCGGCGGTGCACCGCACCGCGAGGGGGCGGCGGGCGCGCGTGCGCGGTGCTGGCCTCGGCGCGGCCCCCCCGTGTGGTCGCGCGATGCTCCCGGTCCACGTCGAAGCGGAGCGGCCATCCTACGCGGCCGCTCCCTCGGTGTCGGAGTACGCGCGGCGGATGCTGCACTACGCGCAGATGGACATCGACTACACGCTGGCGCAGATGATCTACCTGTGCATCTCGGGTCGGGCGAGGAGGGGGGCTTGGAGGTAGAGACGGGCATGTCCCTCTGCAGGAGGAGCATTCGAAGATACTCCAGAAATAGTAATTATCGGGAAGAATGTTCTAGTATTTTTGAGTATGTTACCCTGAGAGCGACGAACATGAAAACGAGGGGGGTGGCAGGGTGGAGGAGGTGGATGAGAGGAGGAGGGGGGAGAAGGATGTGGACGAGAAGCAAGAGGAGGAGAAGGAGGCAGAGGAGAGCAGCAGGAGGGGGAGCAGAGAGGGGGGGAGGAGGAGGAGGAGGAGGAGGAGGAGGAGGAGGAGGAGGAGGAGGAGGAGGAGGAGGAGGAGATGACGACTTGATCGGACAAGCCCCTCACACACGCCGACAGGGTCGGCGGATTTGTTGTTTTTCTTCCCAAACCGTCAAGTCGTCTGTCGGCCCACGGGGGTGCCGTCATTGCGCACGCAGCCGCCTGTGGCGAGCGCGTGCGAGTGGCCGAGTCGCTTGGCCGCCGCTTCGTCGCTTGCGCGTGGCCGAGTGCACCACCGCCAAGCCTAGACTTGACGGTCTTGGCTTGGCGGTTGTGCAATATTTGTCGCTGCCACTTCTCCTTGAGACGCCCTGCGTAACCCTTGCACAACAAAAAATGTCTTCACAAATCCGCCTGTAGGAGGAGATGCCCAACCTAACCTTAAGGAGAACAGGCTGCATGAGCATAAACTGGCGTAGCTCCGCGCAGATCTCTTGGGTCGGCACTGGGCCCACCCCTGGAGGGGTGTCCAGTCCAGCGCCGATTCAGGAAATCCGCGCGGAGCTCCGAAAAGGTTCGGTTGATGCAGTCGCCAGTTCTTCTCGAGAGGGGGTGATTAGGAAAGAGGGCGTTAGGAAATCCCGATGGGAGGGAACGCTGGAAATCCGAGAGGGGGTGATCCGGAAGGGGGGCGCGCGCAGGAAAGCGGGTGCTCAGGAGATGCTCGAACGGGCGCGCGAGGAGGGAGGGCGTTCGGGCGTCTCGAGCGGGGGTGATGAGGAGATGCCGGTTTAGAACGGGCATTTCCTCGTCACCCCCTCTCGAGAAGAACTCCTTCTCGAGGAGAGGGGGGGCCGACTGGGGACGACGGCGTCACGAGACCTGCTGCGCGCAGCCGGCTTCGGCCCCACCGCTGGGCGCGCCGCGTGCCTCGGGTGCACGGGCGCCTCCCCAGCGCCGGAGGGCGCGGGGAGACCAGCTACTCCAGATTTCGTAACAAAAGGGAGGGGGTCTGGACCCTCCAAGACAAGCCATTTCAGACCTCCCCCCGTGAGAGAACCCTCCCAAACACCGTCCCCAGACCCCCCAGGCCCTCCAAGATAGCCTGGAAGAGACCCCCCCCGAAATGAGACCCCTCTCCCTTTATTACGAAATCTGGAGTACAGTCAACCCGCATAGTGAGGATGGGCAACCTTCCCAAGGGGTACCCCTGCATCCTCGCCTCCTCGGTCCATCCTTGGCCACATCCTTCCGTTGGCCGCGCCCCGCTCGAAAAGCTTCGAAGTGGGCATCCAAGGCCCTTGCATCCTTATCCCGCATCCTTACTAAACGGGTTGCCTGTATGGCTCATGGCAGATGTCGGCGGCGAGCGAGGGGGGGGCAAGTGAGGAGGAGAAGGGCTTCTCAGAGGGCGGCGGGAGAAGGCCTCGCGCCTTCTGGGACGTATTTCCGTGCCTTCGGCGGAGGCCTGGAAAGCTTCTCAGAAGGCCGGGTGTGACCGAGCCTTCTGAGAAGGCTCGCCGCCGAAGATGACTCGATGACCCCCCCTTTTACTACCCCCCCCTGTCGCCCGACCCGGGCATCAAGCCTCGGAAAGTTTACCAGCTCACATCGTACAGGAAGCAGACCAAGAACCAGTGGGCCAGAGACGACCCCGCGTTCGTCGTCGTGCTGGTGTTGTTCCTGACGGTGGCGGCCGTTTCGTACGGGATGGCGCTGCAGACGAGCTGCATGGGCTTTCTCAGGATTTGGGGCCGATTCGTGGGCATCCAGTTTCTTCTCTCTGGGGCCGTGATATCGACAACATGCTGGTTCGTCTCGAACAAGTACTTGCGAGTGCAGTCCTTCCATGGGGTCGAGCAGCGCCTGGAGTGGATGTACGCGTTCGACATCCACTGCAACTCCTTTTTCCCCCTCTTCCTGGTCCTGTATGTGGCGCACTACTTCCTGCTCCCCTTTCTGGTCGGGCCGACTCTGCTACCGGCCCTCCTCAGCAACGTGTTGTACGCCACAGCCATCTGCTATTATGCGTACATCACCTCGCTGGGGTACAGCACGCTGCCATTCCTGGAGCGCACGGAGCTTTTTCTATCGAAGACGCCTACGGCGAGTCACCGCCGCCCCCTGCCTTTTTGGAAGCGCCTGCGTAGACGAAATTTGGGTTTGAGCTTGGCCAAGCTATCGGGCCACGCGTTCCCCGAGTGGGTTTCGAAAGCTTTCGGGGAACACGGAGTCGGGCGAGCTATCGGACCAGGTGGTTCCGAGTTTTCGGGTTTCCTGGAGGACGTCTTGGAGGGCTCTTGGGCAGTCTTGGAGGCTCTTGCGGGCCTTTGAGGCAGTGTAAGGCCATTTGGGCCGTCTTGGCTGCATCTTGGGGCCATTTTCGCTGTCTTGGAGGCCTTCTTGGCCGTCTTGGAGGCATCTTTGAGGCCATCTTGGCCGTCTTGGAGGCCATCTTCGGCGTCTTCGGGGCCATCTTGGGCCGTCTTGCGCTCTTCTTGGGGCCCTCTTGGGGGCCTCTTGGGCTGTCATGGGGCCATCTTGGAGGCCTCTTGGGCGCTCTTGGGACGATGTTGGGGGCCTCTTGGGCCGTCTTGGGCCGTCGGAGAGCTGATAAGAAGAAAATGCCAACATCTTTCAAAAACCTAAGGAAAATAAATGATGATTGCCCTTCCGGGCCTTCCTGGAGGACGTCTTGGAGACCTCTTGGGGGCCTCTTGGCCAGTCTGAGCCCATCTTGGAGCCATCTTGGGCCGTCTTGGAGCCTTCTTGGACGAACTTGCAGGCATCTTGGACTCTCGGGCCGTCTTGGAAGCCATCTTGGACCATCTTTGGCGACTTGGAGGCCATCTTGGGCCATCTTGGAGGCCATCTTGGGCCAACGTGGCCATCTTAGAGGCCATCTTGAGCCGTCTTGGAGAGTTGTTTCCGGTCGTTGAGGTGGTTTATGCAGCCTTGTGCGGCCTTTCGGGTGGCCGGCGGGACGGGCCGAAGCCCCAGGGAGTGTTCTCTTCGGGAAAAGAACCAAAACCAAAAGCGAAAGGATTCAGCACGCCGGGCACCCTTGTGATGAATCAACAGGGGGCGGCGGATCCAATGGCCTTCGGCCTATCCAGCCACCGTGCCCGGGTTGTGCTTATGGCGCCTATTGGATGACCATTGGGATCTCGTGGGGGACTTCTCGGGGGCCTTTTTGGGGGGCAGTTTGGAGGCCTCTTGGGGATAAGGCAAAGGACCTGAGGACCCTGAGATCCGACGTAGCGAAACAATGCAACATCGTGAGTAACAAGTCACGCCTGGAGCCGCGGACCCCATCTTTCTGCGCCATTTTCTGTGCCGGATCGATCTGTGAGGGTCCTGGGGCCCGAGACTCAGCGAAAACGTTGGTTGCGAAAAAATTGCAACGCCAGGATCTCATGGGACACGCTCGCTCCGTGCCCAGAGGCACAGTGGCGGATACCCGTCCATCCCCGTCGCCCTCCTCGTCGTGTTCCTCGGCCTGCTCCGGGTCAACCTGACCCGCCTCACCCTCGGCAGCTACGCAGCCTGACCGCGGCCAGGGTTACTCTGGGCCTCCTGCATGGGGTCGGAGTGGATGGGGTCGGAGGATCGCGCCGCATCGCCGATGCATCGCCGATGCGGCTCGATGTGCAGCCCGAGTTGCTTCACGTCGACGTCGCCGATGAATCCTCGACGTCGACGCTGCATCGCCAGTGCATCGCCGGTGCGTCGCCGAGGCATCGCCGATGCATCGCCGAAGCGTCGCCGATGCATCGGCGATGCGGCCGGATCCTCCGGCCCCAGCTGCTCGGGCCCCGTCCAGGAGGCCTCCAAGGGAGCCTCGGCGGGCGCCCTCCGCCTGGGGCTGTGCGGGCCCCGCCCGCAGCGCGCGCCGCGGGCTCCATGAGCGGGGCGCCGAGGAGCAAAACGACCCGGCTGGCCCGCGGATCGATCGGGGCCCGCCCAGACCTCCTCGCGGGATTCCTGCGGCCCCCGAAGGTGTAGTGAATTACCCAGGCACGATGTCGCGCCGTGAAGGAGTCAGGACGGGAGGTGTCTGGCCACCGTCGGCCTCAGGGGAGCCCTCGCCGGGCCTCGGGGCCATCCAAACGGGCTCAGGACGAGAAATCCGGCCCCAGGGAACTGGTCCAGACCTCCGGGGCCTGCGCATCGAAAAAATTGGAGCGGTCGGATGTCTGGGCCGCCGCCCAGTCTGGAACTATCAGGAGGGGAAAAAACACACAGACACAATTAATCGGCGATTCCCAGAAAATATGGGAAAATATGGGAAGTGGGGGGGAAGACAGAAACCCAGAAAATATAGGAAGATATGGGGAGTATGTTTATTTGTGTGTATTTATTTGTGTGTCCTGGGGCCCCTTCATTCTTAGAAGCACCCCTGCTTCTTCGAAGACGCGGGCCTTGTCTGTAGGTGTGAGGCCGGCGCCTTCAATTGTAAGGGGCAGCCTCCTTCTCACAAGCTCCCCCCCTACCGCTGCCTCCTTGTGCGCGCCGGCAGTGCAATCCCCCTCCTGGGCATCAGCCGATATGGCTATGTTTCAATCCGCGGCCCCAGAGGTCCCGACTCCTGCCCTGGGGATAGTTCTTCGTTCCGGACTCACACTTGATGGCCTCAGGGCTCCACAGCAGGCTCCAGAGGCCGAAATTGGGGGAAAAAGCACCGGGAATGAAGACATCGGATCGTCGGAGATGTGAGTCTCTGGAGCAATCGGGCATTGAGAGAACGCCCACTCAGACAAGGACATCTGACTAGGCTCGCTCGACATTGGCATTCGAGTGTACGTACTGGTGCAGTTCCCAGTCGGTTTCGGCAATGGACGTGCGCCTCGTCGGATCCATTCGGTTGTTTTCGACGTCGATTAGCTACATCGCTGGGTTCCGCTCGAAATGCGGTGCCGTGCGCACGTCGAGTGCCCCTAGCAGTTTTCACTACGGGGCGTTTTGCCGCAGGGTTTTCTATCAACCGCTGACTTCCACAAACATCACCGCCCACCAGACCACCCCAAGCCAACCCGAAGGCCCCGATCTGCCCTCGATTTCTGGTGGGGGTGGGTCGGGGAACATTGAAAACACACACACACACACACACACACGAAGCCCGTACCCCCCCCAACCCAAAGTTCGGGTCTTCGAGTTGCGCTGGGGTGGCCTGGTAGGTAGTCCATCTGTACGCCGCGCACGCCGTGCTCGAGCACTCACGCTCAAGACCTTCACGCAGTGAGCGTGGTCTTCCCCCCCTTCCCGCGCGCTCCGCCCCCTTCCGGCGCCAGTCGTGCCCTGCTTCGGCCCCGTTGCATCCCACGGCCCCCGACGTCACGATTTGTGTTCATGGCGTCGACCCCCAGAGGTCTCGACCCACTATCTTGAAGCCAGGCATGTCTCTCAGTATGGGGCGATTTTTCGTGCTGTTTGGGATTGTGATTTTCCCCGCATCCAAAGTTGGGTTTTTGTTTTCTTTGGACACCCTCCGCGCGGGAACCTCACCTCCGCCCCACTCTCCGCCTCACTCACGCATTCACCCCGTCATCGGTCATCATCACCATCGGTCATCACCATCATCTCGTCTGTGAGTGAATTGAGAGCAATTCTCGGGCGGGAGCCCCCTCACTATGACGCCCGCGCTTCATGTTGGCAATCCGAGCGGGTCATCGGAACCTTGTAACTGTCGTCACTTTTGGATTTCTCTGGCCTGAATATGGAGGAAGTATCAGGCGGGAGCCTCGTCTGTGAGTGAATTGTGAGGAAACCTCAGGCGGCAACCCCCTCCCTATGGGGTCCGCAACTCATGTTGGTAATCCGAACGGGTCATCCTCATCCGTGTAACTGTCGTCACTTCTGGGCTCCTGAGGCTTGAATATGGGGGAAGTATCAGGCGGGAGCCTCGTCTCTGAGTGAACTGCGAGGAAGTCTCAAGCGGGAGCCCCCTCCTTACGGGGCCCGCAGATCATATGTTTGAGGAAGTCTCAGGCGGGAGCCTTCTCCAGGGAGGGACGAGGGCGTGCGCCACCATCGAGTGCGCGAGGGACGAGGACGTTGGCCGCACAGACATGTCGGACGACCAGTGGCGGTTGCACCTCTACGTCATGTTCCCCCGCGCCACGGGCATGCGGAACATGCTGATCCTGCGGCCGCCACCGCGAGACATCCTGGAAGGCGGGCCGCCGGCGTCCCTGCGGAAGGCGCTCGAGGAGTTCGACAAGAGAGCGGCGAAGTCCAGGGATGAGGCGGAACAGCTCGCGGCCGATCTGGGCTTCGTGCTGCCCCCGACTTGAGTGCGGCCTCGACTTGCTCTAGACCTGCGGGGTTGTCCCAACGGTTGGATCCCGCGCCCTAGCGGCCTGCGGGGTTGTCCCAACGGCCTGGCCCGAAGGGTTGCCCCGGCGGCCACGTGATCTAGGCGTCGGCGAACTCGCCCCTGCCGGGCGCGGCGGCGAGGGCGGCGACGAAAACCGATTTACCCCGGCCAGAGAGCACGGGTGGCGCGGGAGAAGGATAGGAGGGAGAAAGAGGAGGATGGCGAAGAGGAGAAGGAGAAGGAGAAGGAGAAGGAGAAGGAGAAGGAGGAGGGGGAGGAGGAGGAGGAGGAAAAGGAAAAGGGAAAAGGGGGAGGAAGAGGACGAGGAGGAGGAGGACGAGGAGGGGGTGGAGAAGGTGGGGCGTGAGGATGAGGAGGCGGAGGAGGGGGAGGAAGAGAAGGATAGCACGAGGATGATGAGGAAACGGGGGGGCGAAGAAGACGGTGAGGAGGAGGTACAATTGAAGGCTGGGGGGAGCCATCCGCGAAAGTTAAGAGAGCCATCCGCGAAAGTTAAGAGGAAACAGCGAGGGGAACGTTATACATATTTATATATATATATATATATATATATATATATATTATCACGCGAGGTCTTACCGTCGGAGTAATGTTTGGAATATGATTTATTTGTCTTCCAAAACCGGCCTCTAGGAGGACACGCTCGACCTGACATTATCTGGGACCGGGCTTCTCCTGAAGGTCCTCGCTGCTGCGACCGAAAAGTTTTGCCAATCTCGGCCACGCGCACTGGGGGGTAGGGGAGGGGGGGGCTTCTTAGAA